ATGTGTATGGGTGTTTTTCTTAGAGTAAGGGTATTGTTTAGAGTCATTTTAAAGGAGAACTTAAGTTCAGTGCGAGCAGGCAGATTTTTTATTGCAGAAAAGATATGCAGTGAGGGAAATTTACTAAAACTGGGCTGTAATATGCCGGCCTGACGAGGACAGTGAAGACTCACAGTACTGGATGTTAACAAACAGCAGAACCAAAACTGTCAGATCGAGGTAAATATACATCTGTGAAGGGGGACGGTGGGTTAGGTTAGGGCATGGGGCAAAAAGGATGAGTGCACTTTGTTTTAAAATGCACATATGTTTAATAAGCAATTATTAAGTCAAATGTCTTCTCTGACATCAACAAGGCACTTTCATTCGCACAACTACCACTCACTAGATATTTTTCGGACCATTCTCTGTAAACCCTAGAAATGGCTGTGCGTGAATATCCCAGTAGATCAACAGTTTTTGATATTCACAGACCAGCCCTTCTGGCACCAACAATCATGTCACGTTCAAAGTCACTAAAATCCCCTTTCTTTCCATTCTGATGCTCAGTTTAAACTTCAGCAAGTCGTCTTCAGAACATCTAGATGCCTAAATGCATTGAGTTGCTGCCGTGTGATTGGCTGATTAGCAATTCATGTTACTAAGCAATTGAACAGGTGTACCCAATAAAGTAGCCGGTGAGTGTACATACGTGTATTAATAATTAGATGAATTAGAACGACCAAGAATGTTTAATAAGCAATTATTAAGTCAAATGTCAATGGGTGGACCTGAGAAGCAGGAGGAAAGCTTCTCTGACCTCTGACATCAACAAGGCACTTTTGTCCACACAACTTCCACTCACTAGATATTTTCTCTTTTTTGGACCATTCTCTGTAAATCCTAGAGATGGTTGTGCGTGAATATCCCAGTAGATCAACAGTTTTTGATATTCTCAAACCAGCCCTTCTGGCACCAACAACCATGCTACATTCAAAGTAACTGAAATCCCCTTTCTAACCCATTCTGATGCTCAGTTTGAACTTCAGCAAGTTGTCTTCACCACATCTAGATGCCTAAATGCATTGAGTTGCTGCCATGTGATTGGCTGATTAGCAATTATAAAGTCAAATGTCATTGGGTGGACCTGAGAAGCAGGAGGAAAGCTTCTCTGACCTCTGACATCAACAAGGCACTTTTGTCCACACAACTTCCACTCACTAGATATTTTCTCTTTTTCGGACCATTCTCTGTAAATCCTAGAGATGGTTGTGCGTGAATATCCCAGTAGATCAACAGTTTTTGATATTCTCAAACCAGCCCTTCTGGCACCAACAACCATGCTACATTCAAAGTAACTGAAATCCCCTTTCTAACCCATTCTGATGCTCAGTTTGAACTTCAGCAAGTTTTCTTCACCACATCTAGATGCCTAAATGCATTGAGTTGCTGCCATGTGATTGGCTGATTAGCAATTCATGTTACCAAGCAATTGAACAGGTGTACCCAATAAAGTGGCTGGTGAGTGTACATACATGTATTAATAATTAGATAAATTAGAACGACCAAGAATGTCATACATGTCATGACAAGATTCATATACTCACTTATTAGGAACACAGCAAAAACTATAATATAATGTTGTATCTTAATCCAGGTTTAGGATAAACACCCCAAAGACCAAATAAATGTTGGTAGAGAATCTTAGGTGAGGGAGTAGATGTTGCCTGAACAATGAAGGTGTTGGCCTTCGGGGGAAAAAAGAAGGCATTGTTAGGAACACCAATCTGGTCTGGTTATAAATACTCACAGATATTATATGAACATATTACTCAGTAAGCATTCAGTTGATATCCAAATGAACATTTGAAAGTAGATCCACAAAATAAAAATCCTGAGCACTGGCTATTTAACACTTATAGTCATTTTAGTGTCCAGAAAATAATATGCAATAGGAACCATTTTAAAAGCTCATTATTGTGTCAAGTTGCCAGAATGACCTCATTTATCTATTGTGTGGCACTGAGCCAGGATAACTAGAATCAAGGCAGGGAAAGCTTGCAGACTTGACCCAGTGGTTTACAGCAGCTGTTGTATTGTCAGTCTCCCTTATGTGTGTGAGGCTGCCAGCAACAAGATTACTCGCTGGGCTTTAGAACAAGAACAAATGTTATCTCCTGCAGTAATACAATTTCAACTTTGCTACGTTTCCCACAAAGCACATTACAGTCATGGGACATTTTAGTGTCTGTTTATCAAAGAATTCTTTTCATGTGCACAGCAGCATGCACCAGTAATCTGTCTCAGGATATACAGGTAGGTATAGTCTATCCCTGTCAGAAAATGTACTGCTGGCTTCAGGCAGATTTTCATGAAATGATTATGATGGTCAAACAGCCTTTGTATTGCTAATTATATTATTAAAGGGGGATTCCACTCAGCATAGGACAGTAAACATATCAGCTTGTGCAAGTTTATTATTTTTGTGAGCTGCAGAAGACCCCAATGGTTAGAATTAAGTCTCAGTAGTCATGTTCAAGTTTTCTAATTAACCACTTGCCCTCCAGAGGATTTACTCCCCAGACCAGGCTATGTTTTGCGATACGGAGCTGCGTATTTTAACTGATAATTGCACGGTCATGCAATGCTGCACCCAACTGAAATTAATATCCTTTTTTTCCCTACAAATAGAGCTTTCTTTTGGTGGTATTTTATCACCTGTGCGTTTTTTCTTTTTTGCAATATAAACAAAAAAATATTGACAATAAAACATATCCAGTAAAAAAATTTTAAAAATCAAATTTTGTTATAAATTTAGGCAAGAATGTATTCTGCTACATGTCTTTGCTAAAAACAATCCCAATACATGTAAATTAATTGGTTTACATGAAAGTTATAGCGTCTACAAATGGCGGGATATATATACTGGAATTTTTTTTTTTTATACTAGTGATCAGCGACTTATAGCAGGACTACAGGACTGCGGTGGGCATTCTGACACCGGGTGTGAACTGACTAACTGCCACTGACATCCCGATGACACTAAAACAGTGAGCAGTGCTAATAAGAACTACTGACACTGTACTAATGACACTTGGCAGGAAGAGGTTAACAGCTGAGGTGATCAAAGGGTTAACTGTGTGCAGTTTAACATAATGTGCTGTGTGTGTTTTACTTGGGAAACATGCTGCTGTGTAGAGAAATACACAGCAACATGTTACTGCTGGCAGGAGAGAAATCTGTGTTGTTTACACACAGGTCTTTTACCTGTCAGTGTTGCTCGGCAATCACGGGTGCTGGCGGGGAATCTCTGGCCGGGACCCGGTGATCGAGATCTGTAGCCACAAATGGCGGCGCAGGACCCCCTACCCGGAAATTCAATTCACTTATATATGCGTGATTTTGCGCAGCCCTGAAACCCTATAGCAGTATTTTTGCTATAGGGTGGCGGGGAAGCGGTGAAAACCCTGCACATGTGGGGGGAATGGTAATCGAACTCCATTTTGTCCAAAGGGTAAGTTTGTTGCCTTAGAGCACTGTGTTTGTGGGGAACATGGAGACAAAACTCCATTGTGTCCAAGAGGTAATTTGTTTACTTGAGAGATAAACTCTGTGTGTAACTTTCAGAAATTGGAGAAAAATCTCCATAGGATGTTTCAGAGCAGGACAGAGAGAAGGAAGAACAATGACCTGGTCAAGGTGAAGGAAAAAAACAACTTAGGAAGAAATGAGGAACCTGGCCTCAAAACAACCTTGTCCTAGTGAAGAACAAAAAGAGGTTCCTCACCAGTGACGGTCACCTTCTTAGAACTCACCTAGCAAAAGTGATGGTGATGAGAATACAACTTTTAAAGTAGGCAGAGGAATATCCTTGAAAATTCAGGGGGTGGTCTTAAAAAACTGACAATAAACAGATTGGGATCCCATGAAGTCCTATGGATAAAGACAGAAGAACATTGCAAGTAGCACCTTATACGAAAGCCTCCACAAAGATTGAGGGGCAAGCAGACTCTCAAAGGAATTGCAAAGACTGAGATTTGACCACTGATTGTTCTTGAGGCCCCACACTGATCCACACTAGGCTAGAAGAGACAGGATTTGTCCTACAGAATATATCCTGTGAAAGACTCCCTGTTTTGCACCAAGCAAAATACTCTACCAAGTGTGAAGGTAGACTATACAAAAAGTAGGTTCCCTAGCCTTGAGACCATAGGAAAGACTGAATTTGATAGGCCCCATGTCCCTCAGGACCTGGGCTGTATCAGTTAGGCAAAGAAGCCAGAGACCAAGAAGCCAGGTAAAAATCAGACCAAGGGGCAGATATCTGGATAATCTTGGAGGGCCCACACAGAATTCCCACTGGAGCATGATGAGGTCTGAGCGCCATATTGTTTTAGGCCAGATCAGAGAGAAGAAAATCACCAGAATGCCATAACCTGAGGGCGGTGCAAACAAGGAAGGGATATCAGAGGAGGAAATGTGTAGATCAGATTGAACTGGTCCCACAGAGTCACCACAGCATCCACTGCAAAGGTTAGAGGAACTCTCTGGAGAGTTATTTTTGCCATAGTTACAGTAACCCTATCTGTACTGTGCTGGCAGAGATTGATCATTCTAAAGATCCCAAGGGCTACGTGATACTTTGTATATTATTGTGCATTTAACCACTAGCCTACAGGGCACTTATACCCCCTTCCTGCCCAGGCCAATTTCCAGCTTTCAGCGCTGCTGCACTTTGAATCACAATTGTGCGGTCATGCAACACTGTACCCATATGAAATTTTTATCATTTTTTTGTGACAGATAGAGATTTATTTTGGTGGTATTTAATCACCTCAGGGTTTTTTATTTTTCCTAAAACCAAAAACCACTGAAAATTAAAAAAAAAAGTTTTTCTTAGTTTTTGTTATAAAATTTTGTAAATAAGTGATTTTTCTCCTTCAGTGATGTGCGCTAATGAGTATGCAGTGATGGGCACTGATAGGCTGCACTGATGGACACTGATTGGTGGCACTGATGGGCACTGATGAGGAGGCACTGGTAGGTGGCACTGATGGGCATTGACAGGCATCACTGATGAGCACTGAAAGGCAGCACTCATATATGGCACTGATAGGCGGCACTGACTGGCACTGATAGACGACACTGTTAGGCGGCACTGACTGGCACTGATGGGTGACACTGAAAGGAAGCTCAGATGGGCACTGATATGTGGCATTGATGTGGCACTGATGGGCATTGGCAGGTGGCATCGATGAGCACTGAGAGCTGGCACTGATGGACACTGACAGGTGGCGCTGCTGGGGCTACACAGATCATCAGGGCACACTGATCATCAGTGCTCTGATGATCTGTGTACATGTCCCCTCCGAGGAATGCCGATTACTGGCTCTCCTCTCCTCATGAGCTGTCAGCGTGACAGCTCGTGGGGAGAGAAATGCCCTGATTTTGCCCAGTGTGCCCTGATTTTTCCCTGGCATTTCCCTGTTTACATGTTATCAGCTGTGATTGGACACAGCTGATCACATGACCTAGCTGACATCTTCGGCTCTTTCCATGGATCAGTGATCCGCTGAGTCCGAGGGACACAGTGCACCGCCGATCGCCGTGTTGCACGCTCCGGGAGCTGCGCATGTGCGGTTAGAATGGGAGGATGTCATATGACGTCCTCCCAGAACGAGAGAACCACCTTGCATCCGCCATATTACTATATGGCGGGCGGGAGGCAGTTAAACAAATCTAAAAAAGTAAGAAATAATTTTAAAATTATTTTTAGGTATGCTGTGTGAATGGGAATGCATAAACATATAAAGGAGGTCCTTAAATTATTGGTCAGGTCTGCCTCTTATTTGCAGGGTCTCAAATGTTCAGTTAATGTGTGCATTGTGCAAACCTGTCATGACATACACTATATTGACAAAAGTATTGGAAAATCATTGGATTCAGGTGTTCCAATCACCTCCATGGCCACAGGTGTATAAACTCAAGCACCTAGGCATGCAGACTGCTTCTACAAACATTTGTGAAAGAATGGGTTGCTCTCAGGAGCTCAGTGAACTCAAGCGTGGTACCGTGATAGGTTGCCACCTGTGCAATAGGTCCATCTGTGAAATTTCCTTGCTACTAAATATTCCATGGTCAGCTATTAGTGGTATTATAACAAAGTGAAAGCAACTGGGAACAACAGAAGCTCAGCCATGAAGTGGTAGGCCACGTAAAATGACAGAGTGGGGTCAGCGTTCGCTGAAGCGCAGAGTGCGCACAAGTCGTCAACTGTCTGCAAAGTCAATAGCTAAAGATCTCCAAACTTCATGTGGCCTTCAGATTAGCACAACAATAGTATGCAGAGAGCTTCATGGAATGGGATTCCATAGCCGAGCAGCTGCATTCAAGTGAAATGCAAAGTGTTGGATGCATTGTTGTAAAGCAAGCAGCCACTGGACTTTAGAGCAGTGGAGACGTGTTCTCTGGAGTGATGAATCACGCTTCTCTGTCTGATAATCCAATGGACGTGTCTGGGTTTGGTAGTTGCCAGGAGAACGGTACTTGCCTGAATTCATTGTGCCAAGTGTAAAGTTTGGTGGAGGGGGGATTATGGTGTGGGGTTGTCAATTTTATGCCCTCAACTTTGTGGGAACAGTTTGGGGATGGCTCCTTCCTGTTCAAACATGACTGCACACCAGTGCACAAAGCAAGGTCCATGAAGACATGAATGAGTGAGTTTGGGATGGAGGAACTTGACTGGCCTGCACAGAGTCCTGACCTCAACCCAATAGAACACCTTTGGGATGAATTTGAGCAGAGACTGTGAGCCAGGCTTTCTGCTCCGACATCAGTGCCTGACCTCACAAATGCACTTCTGGAAGAACAACATTCCCATAGACACACTCCTAAACCTTGAGGACAGCCTTCCCAGAAGAGTTGAAGCTGTTATAGCTGCAAAGGGTTGGCCAACTCAATATTGAACCCTACAGACTAAGACTGGGATGCCATTAAAGCTCATGTGTGTAGAGGCAGGAAGCCCAATACTTTTGACAATATAGTGTATGTGTGCTGCTACTGAAGCAGAAGGGTCAGCAGCAAAGTGAGGCGAACAGCATTTTCAGAAGGAAATTTCAGCAATGTTTCTTTTTGACAGTTTTTTTTTAAGGAGCAGGTTGGCTCGAGAGCAGCAGGTGTTTGAGAGGATTCAGTGGTGAATCACTGACAAAATAAATGTTTCAGAATTTTAAATGGCATATTTATATAGGAAATCAATTCACTGTATGATGAGTACTTCAAATGTTAACAAGACTTGTATTTTTTTTTTTTTTTTGTAATAAAGATTGGGAAAAATAAATGTGGGATTGACAATAAAGAAATAGATGACACCACATGCATTTAAATGCATTTCCTGCATTAGGGTAAAAAATGTTCCAGTAGTTTTTGCCCCCACCCACCTACCTATATGCTTGTCTGAGTCCTATTGCAATCCAAAGCTGTGCCCGTCTGCAGTGGTACTGGTCTGCATTCCCCTTCTCACAGGACACAGAGGCACCATTGGCTCCTGCTGCTGTAAATCAAATCCAGTGAGGAGGAAGTGGGAGCGGGGCTGAGCCCTGTTGTGTGTGACTATGGATGCACACAGCAGTCCTCAGGAGCATGCCTGCGCAAATACCCACATAGCACACACAGAGGAAGAATTCCTGACCGCCCCAGAGGAGGACCTTAGAATAGAATAACTAGGGACACTCAAACTCAGAACTATTGCACAGAACAAGCAAGTGTATCATGTTTATCAGTTTAGCAAAAAAAAACGTCGCCTTTACAACCTCTTTATTTAGAGGCACATTTTCCAGCAGACATCCAGCACCGAAATAGGGTGAATTGATGTCAAACGTTTTAATCATCAATTTATAGATATGCTCACGTGTAATTCTGCTTATTTATGACTATGCTGTGTAATCTGTATATGAAAACAAATCCAATATTCACGACTGACCTCCAAGAAAAGCTGCTTTTACTGCTGGCCTTTAGCATTGCTGAGGAATAGTAAGTGTATCATTCAGGACACTGCATTGTGTGGGTCACCCAACCTGTAATGTTTTGTAGGTTATGAGAGACCTCTAGTGGAAGAATTAAGTACATGAGAATAAACTTGTCTTCTCTTTTGTGGTGATTTTAGTTTGCAGTTGCAGTATTTTGTAGTGTGAATGTCTGAGTATATTAAATTGTGAAATTGCCATGTCATGAAATGCACCAAATAAATAAAAATCCCATCACATACGTTATTCAAGTCGGTAGCTTTAAAGTCAACCTGTCACAGTTTAAATTGAGACTATCATAAAAAATGTTTAAACAGAAATTACCTAGCGATGAATGTATGGGCAGGCTTGCTGACCAAGAGGAAACAGTACTTGCCTGACTATATTGTGCCAAGAGTAAAGTTTGGTGGAGGGGGTTTATGGTGTGGGGTTGTTTTTTAGGGGTTGGGCTTGACCCCTTAGTTTCACTGAAGGGAACTCTTAAGGCGTCAGCATACCAAGACATTTTGGACAATTTCATGCTCCCAACTTTGGATGTTCCAACATGATTGCACTCCAGTGCACAAAGCAAAGTCCATAAACACATGGATGAGTGAGTTTGGGGTGGAGGAACTTGACTGGCCTGCACTGAATCCTGACTTCAACCCAATAGAATGCCTTTGGGATGCATTAGAGCAGAGACTGCAAGCCAGGCCTTCTCATCCGACATCAGTGCCTGACCTCCTAGTGGATACCCTTCCCAGAAGAGTTGAAGCTGTTATAACTGCAAAGGGTGGACCAACTATATATATATATCAGGACACCAGAAATGGTTCCTGGATAGGAGATATATTTCCCCACTATTGGGTTGTTTTTCCTATCCAGGAAGGGTTTTTGTTAGGCATTTTTTGTATTTGGGGGTTTTCACCCATGCAGGTTGAGGGGTTTCGGGGTAGTCTGGTCTAACCGGAAACAAATTTCAGTACTTTCTGAATTGGAAGTCATCATTTAGGATCTGGCATTTGGAGGCATGGAGAGACTTTAGGTGGGAAATAGTCTCCAAACCCTGATTGCAGGGACTTTTGTTCCAAAAGAGTTAACCCACCTGCAATAGAGTCTTGAAAAGCAGCAGGAAGGAATCAGCATGTGTCTATGAGGTGGTATGGAGTAGTCCACAGCTGTGAGATTGTGTGGCTGGCTGGTAATCTTCAGTCCTCTAGATTACAACTGGTGCTCCAATGTGGGCAATCCAGATATACAAGTCAAATGAAGTAAAATTAAATTTAAAGGGCCAGCACCCCTTTTGGCAAATTCTGGATCAGAGCAGCACAGGTGCTGAAAAGCTGTGAGGGCAGTATAGAGGAGGTAGTCAAAGCCCTGGTGCAAGCTACAGTTGCCCAGCAGCAGGAAGCAACCATCGCCAGGAGAAAGCCCAGACGCACCAGGACCAGACCCTGGTGCTATCGTTACAGGCTCAGGCAGTGCAGTTGGAGGTGCAAAGGAAGTCTGTCCAGGCTCAGATGGACGCACTAGTGGATTGGATGAAGGGTGTTTGTTGCTCCTAGCAACCCAGTGACAGCAAGGGCTAACCATGCATACAACTTTATGCACCATGATGACATGGACCATGTCTGAGTGTACAGCCAAGAGAGAAGGGTGGCCTCGGAACAAGCCTTATCAATCTATTCCTGTCAGGGGAACCACAGAAGGCCTACTATGACCTATTGGCAGCCAACTCCAAGGACTATGCAAAGCTCAAAGGTGAGATCTTAGCCCACCTTGGAGTGACTGTGGCTGTGTGGCACTCCAGGGCCCACCAGTTACATTGTTGGAAATATTATGCTGGTCAGTCATGCTGCAACTGTCCACAAAGTGGTTGCAGCCACAGAGTTAACAGGACTGCAAATCATGGATTGGGTCATCATAGACCTCTACCTATGGGCTCTATCTAATGAACTGCAGTGTTGGGACAATGGAATGACTAGTGGAGATGGTAGAGCAGTAAACTGTGGTGAAGGATCTGCTGGGACCCACCATGCCCCAAAACCCCTGTCAAGGAGAATCAAGTCACCCACAAACCCAGCAACAGTGTTCAGGGATTGACCACTTTAGTGTCCTAGAGTTCTGCTCTGGCATAAAGGAATAAAAACTTGCTATGCTGACTGTGTCACTTCCCAGGCTATATCCAGGCTCAGTGTCTGCTAGAGAAGGAGCCCATGGGGTCCGGAGCTATACTTGGGCTGTCCTGCTATGCCCAGATGTGCTGCCCACCTGGATCTGATAGAGGGGCAGTTTTGATAGCAACTTCTGGGTGAACCAACTCCACGCCCAAATGCTACTAGACTCAGGTAGTATGGTAACCCTTGTCTGTACTTGGGTAGCTGGGAGAGTAGTCCCCGTATCTAAGACCTTGCTAGTAGGACACTATACAATATCTGCAGGTACCAGTGACAATAACAACTGGATGTGGATAGCTTACCCAGGAGGTTGGGGTGGTACCCAGCCTAATACACAGTATCCTCATGGGTGGGGATTGTCCTTTATTTGTGGAACTCTAAGACTATGTGAGCAGAGGACTGCCTGCATGGGGCGAC